AAGATCAATTTAGTTATCTAAATGGCTTTCAAAGTACCAACAAATGTCATAATCAAAAAGATTGGTTCTAAAACTTTTGACCACCAATTTTTGTGACCAAATACTCATCCTGCTACCTGTGGGCCCCCTTTGAAATTGCCTAACATTTGGCCAAAAATTATGCATTCTTGTATTGTTCGTGGCGGCCGTTCATTAAAGAGCATCTTTTCATTATACAGCTCTGGCCGCCAGAGTCAAGGGGCAGCTGTGATTAAACACCCAAGAGCCAAGGTGTCACTGCCCGAGTGAATGGACCACGAGCTAACTAAATAACATTCAGTGCATGAAACTATCTTTTTAGCATACAGAAATGCGTTTGATGTCTTCCTTTTGGCAGGACACGGCCCGCCATTTTGTGTAGTGCACAATTGCAGCCCGCCAGCACATTTTCTGTGCATTCTTGACCAAAAAACCAGTTTGGAGCCACAAATTGCACCTTTACACAGGTTGCACACCCACACACCACTGCACCACACAGCCACATTACAAACCAACCCCATTCTACACCTTTCTTGGGCATGTGCTGGAAGTTTCACTTTTACGCTCACATCCTTGCACACTCCTTGGGTGGCTGCGCCCACCTTCAAGGGAGCGCCACGTTGCTCCAAGCTTCTCCTCTCAGCCGGGCAACCCCTTCTCGGGGCCTCTCCGTGGCGGACGCCACCATCTCCGCGTCGATGGATTTTGATGGGCAGATCTCCGATGGCCAGCCATCGGCGGCTCGCCATGGTGTGCGCCTTGTGGGCGCCCTTCACCGGTTTGGGCTGCACTTTTAGTGCCTTCGCGGCCTGACTATCCTGTGCGTTTTGCCTTGGTTATGCAGTGGGCGCCTTCTCGGCGTCCTTTGGGCGTTTGTGGCCATTCCCGAATCAGATTCGAGGGATGCCTTGAAGGGATCGTTGGGCAGACCGCCAACGGACGAGGCGCCGAAACGGCGCCTTTGTGGGTGCAGTGCCCGCCCTCTTGCCACTCTGAACGGGGGTGCACGGCCTCCTTGGCCGCCACCCCCGGCTCGCTTTCTCAGCGGGCGTTTGGTGGTGTGGCACTTTGCGGTGCTGCGGGGTTCATTTTTATGGCCGGACATCTGAAGTGTCGTATGGCCTAACGTGGTGCCCAACGCCCACAGCCACACGCACACCCATCAAACACCAAACTGCATTTGCACGGCCACAAGGTACACTGGTTTGACCGCTTCAAACGGTTCACTTGACCCTTCAAACGGTCCAGGATGCCCCACAACCACCACGCCGGCGTCACCAAAATGGCTACACAATCAAAACCATTCTACACATTTTGTAGGATGGGGCTGCGCCTCCCGTGTACTACAAGATGCTATAGCAGTGGTTGAATGTCCAGATGTATTGTCTAGTACTTGAAGCACAAAGATATGTTGCAATGGGGCAATGCACACAGCCCCAAATTCAAAACACAGAATATGCAACCAAACTTCAAAAGCAACATGACAAGCCCTCCAACATCACTCAACCACTACAAAGGCACAAGACCAAACCCAATAAAACTGACCAGGAACACGTTTCCAAAACATACCCACACAAGATTAGGCCGCCTCTTCTAGGAGAACCTCAACAACTGGTCCCCTTTTCAAGTTAATGAAATTCCATACTATTGCAAGTACAGAAAATGCGCCCTTGCACTTGCGCAAACCCCTCACAACACATTGCCACACCTCCCTTTTGTTCCACACCACCAAGGGAAGATGGGCATGGCTCATGGGCTAAAGAAAACGCATTGGCAGCTGTGCAAACATAGAAAAGAAAGTGGTTTCACACACAAAACCACTTTAAAGACAAAACAACCCTTTTCAAGGGTCGGAACAAAATAGTCAGCCCTCCCCATTCAAATCACAATGGATGGGTTGTCGGTCCTTCCACAGGACCATGCACAATCCGGTGCACTTGTCTTTTCAAAATAGCCACCAAACTCTCACACGTTCCCTTTTTTCCGCTAGGCCAAACCATTGCCATTTTTTCACAATAACTAAACACTTTTGCCCCAAATCAGTATGGCTTGCACAACCAACCATGGGGGAAGTGTAAAACAATACTATCAACACACAGGGTGAGGGGAGTCAACCTACTTCTGATTCTCATTCCCTTACCCTAGTCGTGCGCTGAACTTGTCATGGCCATCCTGGCTCACGACTTTTAGTGCATGCAGGATTTTTAGTGAGAGAGCTAAAAATAGCCTTGCATAGCACAAGGACTGACACCGTGCCTGGTCTCTGAAATCCCACAGAGACAGCACACCTGCCATGTCAGACCTGTGTGTGTAAGTGCATTTCAAGATCTCCGCTTGAACGTAACCTTACACATCACATGCAACCCCATTTTTCATGTAGATTACTGGACTAGTTGTCTCTCCTTGTCAGGTCAGATAGCCCAGATGGTCTTTCTCAGACCAGGGAATAGTTGATCAGGCCATCCCAGTCTACCCACACAGCCTGTGCCCTTGAGACACAGGACCTCCCAGAATTGTCATTGAATCCAGTCAGTCTGGGGAGCTGACTGGTGACACGGATCTGTTGAGAACACAGGGCGGCATCTCACATCCAGCCCTTGTCTCCCTAACCTTACACCGCCCTCGTTCTCACTCCTAAGGTTTGCAGCTGTCCGCTCATAGCATATTTTCGGAGCGTTTTCTCTTTGTTTTCTTTTCCTTTTTTTATCAGCAATGGTGGCATACTCGGGCCATCCCATGCAGTGTGCATAGCACATATGGTAGATACCCATCGTACGCCAATTACATAAGTGATCCACCCAGTGAAAACGGTGGTCATTATGTGGCGTCACGAACAATATGACGTTTGTTGGAGATCCGTGTAGTTCTGGGTGGCACCCATCCGAGGCATGCCAAAGCAAGGTGGCTGGTGCTATCATGGCAAAGGGCAATGTCCCTCACATTGTGTAGTGTTTGGATCCCCATCGAAGAAGCCTATCGTCACGGCATCAATGATGGCAGAAATCGTTGTCTCCTTAATCTCCAATGCGAGGACTTACGACAAGTGGAAAAGTTCAATGCCCAATGTGCTCAAGCTTGGGTCTGTGTGGGCTATCACTCTCTATGGTTATGCTGTAACTTTACTCTGACATTGCGCCTTGATTGATCCGTGAATCGAGGGTTTTGTGCGTGTCTTGGCTCACACTCTAGAAATTGCCACTGGTGGCCAATTCATATGTGTGGTCCGCAACACTTTGCAATCTAACTGGTCTCTACTTGCGAGAGACACAAACTCGTCTCTCTGACCACAGTGGTGAGTGACTCACTTCACATTCCGCCCTTTCAATTATCGATGCAAGTGTCGACTTCTCCATCTTGCTTTGGAAGCCATTCCCCCTAACATCCACCCGTTGATTAGGGTGATGGCCAAAGACCATCACATTCCTTCGCACCCCTTCGGGGGGCTTGGGAGGCTTTGTGCAGTACCTCTCACAACAATGATGGAGGTTCGAATATCGCAGTCATGAAACCTGGGCCGGAAATGCATCCCCGGATTTGCCAATCAAACTTGAATTAGGGCAGCAAAGCTACAACGACTTCCACGATCAAGCCTTCCAAGACATGTTTTCTACCACTTTGCTTCTTTGCAGGGACATCTCCAAGCTCATGTCCAAACGACATGGATAGTTTTGAACGGGCGGACATGTTTGGCTGCCGCAAAGTTATGCTTCTCACCATCGTGAAAACAACAGTTTCGGTGACTGTTTAAAAACGGGTGATTTCCGGTAGAAGGACCCTTACTACAATGTATTGTCAAATCTTCAATACTTAACGAATTGACTGAAATTCTTGACCATACACTCCAAAAATATGGGCGCACCTTTGGCACCAATTTCATTGAAAAAAGAAGCTTTCATGATGGAGAACTAGGGCGCCAAAGTCATAAAGGACAATTAATTCCGGACGGAGGAAGTATACTTCCACATTTGAACGGCTCAGGGTAGTTGATGGCAAGCGGTGTCGGAGGGGCATTCCTATATTTAGATTTATCTTGCACTTCCCATGCAGAATCGCCAAGCAATCGTCAGTGCCACCATCCAGTACAATTCATTATGCAAATGTCGCAGCTGCCTCTCAGTCGCTAAGGCGCATAAATGTGGCATCCAACCCTTGCGATTGGCCAAGGCACAATGCCAACGAATGATCATACTTTTATGTTTTACACAAAACGGCAATGAACATCTCTCTCTAACCCTGAAAAAACCAAAAGAGTTCCTTTCCACCTGGCAGTGATGCGAACGACCCACAGTGAACGCATATGATGACATTTCAATCATAGAGACGGCTTGCAGCAGCATCTAGTTTGATCACAGGGAACCATGTGTTTTGTAGGGCCAGTCCACCGCCCAAAACTCTGCCCGAGAGGAAATCCATACCTCACCCCGTCGTTAGGTTTTCTGCAGCTATGTTCAAATGCTTGCACTGATAGTTTCCCCCCAAAAGGCCCATCTTGCATGGTGACAGCGCATGAACACTATAATATAGTAATCAAAACAATTTCGGTGTTCCTTTCTACCTTCCCAAAACATCCATCTGTTGTTGACAGCAAGTGATCATGACAGCAATCGGCAATCGGCGCTATTCTTGGCTAGCAACGACGCAAGATGGGCCCGTATCCAGAAGAGGCTGTTAGCCACCAGCACACTGACTTGTGTGCGATCCTGCTCAGAAGATGACACGGTTCTCATTCGCAATGCTGCGCCAGCCACCCAACGGAAACGGTAGACATCCCGGCTTGCAAATCCTGATCTGTTGCAACCTTCCTACATGTCGAGGTCCAGCTGGAAAGGCGATCTGAGAGGGCCACCACCTGTCTCCTTTGAGACACCCAGGAACTGACCTTGATCACATCTCGAGGAACAGTGATTCGGCATATTTCTTCCACACTGCACACTCTGCTGCAGGGTTTATGTTTTGCAGACAGTTGGAAGGAGTATGGTGAATCATGCTGAAGCAGATCCGCTGTCGCTCACAGGGATGCGGTGCCTGCTGCAAGCGCACAACACGATGTTGCACACTTGTTCCAAAAAAACAGCCTTGGCTGTCTTGATCTTGCAGAATGAGCTCACGTGCAATGTTGACGAGCAAAATCGCGTTGCAATAGTGGAGAGGACAGCGTTGTGTAGCCAACTGGACCGATCAAATATATTTCGTCACCATTTGCTGAATACAAACACTCATCAGTCTCAGAATGGCACTCCAGCCATGTCTGACTGACTGATTTACTTTCTCTCCCACATACTGTGTCAGCTGTATGGCTAACATGTGATGAAGATCAGCACACAAATATCTATTTGTACCATTTCCCTCAATCAGCATGCGACAACGCGTTTCACAAGGGTGTGGGAACCATGACATCACAAACCTTCCCGGAAAACGAACGACAGCGCCATCTGAATCTACATCATCTGGATCCTCATCGCCCAGTGTTGATCCTGAAGGCACTCGCAGGACATCCCTGCAACACCACACAAAGGTCCACTATTGATCAAGGAACTGCAAGCCACACAATCCAAATACAAAATTTGAGAACTAGCAATCTCTACTGATCAAAGCCAAAAGCGTGATCGGGAGACATGGATGCAGCATTTCCCTTCAATGTTCACAACCTCTTCATTCATTGCACTGCTGCCATTTATGCATAGCAAAGGTAGGAATGAAAGAGTGTAGTATATTCAACCCTCCCGCATTTTCAAATTGCAGTGCTATGGATTTCACTCCGCATTCTTCTGAAAACATGTTGCTTCCTCTGCCCGGAATTAAATGGCGCCTTTTGATTGAGAGTTCGCATTCATGTAAAAACTCATTATTTTATGTTGAAAATTAGTGTACAGTTACCACCTATGAGTTCTTTAAGTGCTGTCAAAATTTTGTAGAGAAAGCATTACCGTAGTGTTTAAAACCCTTTTGCATAGTAACGTTATGCTGGGCCCTTTTTCGTGGAGTCGATGAACAGGAAAATAATGGTGCCCAGAGGGAAATGCGGTGCAGCCAAATTTAGTAACGCTCGGGGCGCGGCTTTGTGACGGGCTTGGCCCCGGCACCTGGCAGGCCACTGGGCGATCGATCGGTAGGCAGGCAAGCGCCCGCCACTTGCCATCCGGGCGGCTCGAGCCTCGAACCTTGGGAAGCGATGGCAGGCATATGCCAGCGCCATCGTGGACTCAAATTTGCAGCTGATCGTGTCGCCCGGCCCACTGCCAATTGGACATGTGAAGGCCCACCCCACCTTGTGCCATCCTCTCGGCGCTCCCCGCCACCCGGCAGGCTTCTAGGCGACCGATTGGCAGGCAGGCAGGCACCACTGCTTGCCATCCGGGCGGCGGGGAGAGTGGGTGCTGACGCTGAAGGTGCCAAAACCCGAGATAACGCGAGATTGGGGGAGTCGCGGGCGGCGGAGCCTTGCTGCGTTCCTGCTGTGGCTCAACTGGGGGGGCAGGCCGGGGCGGCTTAGGAGCTGCCGTGAGACCAGGAAAAACGCGAGGGCGAAATTGAAGCTAAACGATAAGGCCATGAGGCTATTTAGCAGGCATAGGTTCGCGGCAAGGGACCCGGCTTCGTGGACCAGCTTCGCATCGCTAGGACTCTTGGGAACCGTCCCCAGGGCTGGGTGGTTGGTGTCGCATGGTGCACGCACGTACGAGGCTTGGGACTGGTCCGTTGCACCTCAAACTTGGGATACAACCTCCAGGGGCCCCTCGGAGCCCGCGCGACATGATGCGGAGCAAAAAAATAATGTAACGGCCTGGGATGAAAACGTGGAGTGAAAACGTAACGGTCGGGATGGACCGATGCAGAAGTGTTGAATAACTTTCGGTATTACAGTTTGGCAGGGCATCACATACAGCCCCCTCCAGATGGTAATGTGACCCATTGCAAGGATGCGCTGGCCTGGCTGGCGGTGGCGTTCCCCGTCCAGAATGCCCCACTCTCGATTGAAGCCTTTCCCGACACTTCACAACGCTATGAAAGTAGAGTTGCTCCTGCATCTGGGGCTTTAGTCCAATCATCGACAACCATTGTAGTGGAGCATCGGTAGAAACGGCACCCAGATCTGTTTGTTGCCATCGCCAATGTCCTCGATATCCACCCATTGTGTGATGCAACACACGAGCATGTCTAGCATCCATCCCTTCTAATAGATTCTTGCGTATCCTGGGACCCGCTCTGCTATCACTGCATGGGCTAACGAATCTCTGTTCCGTCACAGCTTGCAGGCAAGTGGCATGCCTGGAGCATAGACATCCCTCTCAAAAAGCCATGAACTACTGCCAATCTCGGCCGTGCAACGTTACGATGGGCAGATGGACGTCCCTAGTATCTGTGTGGCTAGCCTTTCAATATCTTGTATGGTTAGCATCTGAAGTTTCGGATGGTGGCGTCTTCCAATGCATCGTGAACAGCCCCAGCAGCCTTCTGTGGAGGAGATACGCGACAGCTATTTCTGGCAATCTTTCTACTATTGCCCAGAAGCATGAGAATGCCTTCATCCTCGATCGTGGACTCGGCCGATTTTCGGATTTCCGATCTCCGGATGTGCATCCGATTGGACAGTAAAATCCACAGTGGGGATCGACGATCGTGTATTAAGCATGGCACCACAGTCTCGCATCGTCTCAGGGATGGCTCCGACTTGCTTGTTTCAACGGCGACAGCAGATAACCATTTCTTGGTGCGCAACGTCAGGCCACCCCCTTCTAGGGTCGTTTTTGGGGTCCCCAACCCCGACCCTTGAATTCTCCGACTGTGTGCCCACATTGTGCGGATTCAAAGTACAATAGGGGTCCCCGTACAACGCCCCCCCAATAGTGCCCTTAGTTCCCATTTTTTGGCTCACCACCATTTTTGTAGTACTTTATGCAGTCGTTGCGCAGTGGGACCTCAAAGTAGTATGGGGGTGCCCCGTCCCACGTCCCCTGTTTAGGGACCCATCTAGATTTAGCGACCCCCTGAACAACTTGTCACCGTTCCCATAGAATTTTGTTTCACTGCGACGGGCCTCCGTGCCCCGCGACTTCGGCACTGCGGCCAAGTCGCTGCACCAAAAGCCAATATGGGCCTGGTAGGTTGGGTGTAGTGTACCCCCTACACTGGCAGCCAAGGTACCCACCTCACCGGTGGCCAGGGTAGCCTCTACACCGGCATCTAGAGTACCCACTACACCGGCGGCTATGGTACCCCCTACACTCGCTGCCAGGGTACCTCCTATACCGGCAGGCAGTGTACCCCCTACACTGGCAACTTTAGGGTACTCCCTGCACCAGTAGTCAGGGCACCCTTTACACTGGCTGCCTAGGGTGCCCCGTAAACATAATAGGGCTCCCGGGCCCCAATAGCGCCCCCTGACCATGTCACAGGGGGGCGTTGCATAGGAAGCCAGACCAAAAGTCGGGCCTTTGGCCTGACGTTCTGCACTTTTTCGCTCCTATGCTCTCTATTCAAAGCGGCTGACTCGCTGGCCAGGCTGGGCTACGTTGTTGCTTTGTTCACATTTTCAATTCCATGTTGATTTGCTCATCACGCTCTTCGCTATGTCTTATGCCACTGTCGTTGCGCCGAGGGCTGCACAGCACCACCGCCACGTGAGTTTACTCCCACTATGCTGCACGGGGAGTCCTTGACGGGGGCTACAACTTTGACCATTGAGTATTGAGACGTGAGCCACCACCGCTGCGGCCCAGGATTGTTGGCTTTGCATTTCTCAAGGAATCCCCCCTTGGATGGGGCATTTGTTGCACCCTTCCTGATTGCGACATTCCCTCCCAACTTCGACCATTGAGTTTTTGGACCCGAGTCATCACCGCTGCCATCAGCGCTGGCGATGGCCGTCATCGCCCCTGCGACGATGGGGGACCGGTCCCACAATCGCAATGCACCGATCCGCACCTCGAGAGCTAGCGCAGGGTTCAGCGAGGCCTTTAGCGGGATCACCCACCACCATCGCCATTGGGTGCCATCGCCACGGGCGTGACTCGCAAGCCGTCACCGCAGCCGCATTGCCCTCAATTGACCCAAAAGAGCATTCGACATTCACAGCAAGTGATTGACACACATCGCGCTTTGTGTTGTGATTTAGCTGACTATAAGGTGTTTTGTTGTACTTTCTAGATCACAACATGCTGTTGTCGGGACCAAACCTTTGGAAAGAATTGGGTAGGTTTCATTCTCTCTGATTCCTAAGGATACAGAGACATTGTTTGGGATACTAGCTTCCGCTGGATGCCTTGGAAATGTCTTAAGAGGTCTGGGGATTTAGGGTGTATTCATTGCCTGACATGGTGTTAAAATGGGCCCACCGAACATTAAATCTTAATTTGGTTGTATCTAGCGAATGTGCCAGCTGACTGTAATGAACTTGTTCCAGTTGCCTCGCTCCCTGTCTTCAACGGTCCTCGGCGCGCCCCGCGGGCGCCACCCCCTGGGGGTGGGTCGCAACGGTGCACAACATCTAGTTTCGGAGCCCGGACCCCTCCCCCACCCCTTACCGTCCATCCCCGTCCATTTCCCCCTCGATCGACCGCTCCAAGGGAGCATCCCCGCCGGAATAGGCTGCCCCGTGGCGGCCTCGTTTTCGAGGATGGCGGGCCGAATGAAGCCGGTCGAGGAGCCCCAATCGACGGAGAAGGCGCACTAGCACCTAGTGGAGTTAAGCCACTCTGTGCCTGCGCAGTGGAGCAGCGTGTGTGACGGCATGCTGCGCAGCAACCGGCTACGGGTGCCTCAAGTGAGAGGCACCACTACCTGCAAAGTTGTCGGCATTGTGGGGGTTGATGAAGCGGTGGACCACGGTGGACCGTCACGGCCACGCGCAGAGACGTACGGCAACGGCTGGAGGCTGGCAGTGTGGCCGGCAATGCGAAAGGATGGCCTGCGGGAGGCAAGTGACGCACGGGGAAGGCGCTCCCCGCAGGTTGCGCACATGGCCCGCCACATTGGCAGCCATGTTAGGTGCTAATGCACGGAAACGGGACCAAGAGAGGGGGCCATGGCTGGCCGAATGGGTAGCGTGGCGGAACGCTGAGGAACCGGAGTTACAACGCCAAAATGGCCAAGGGAAGCAGCGTTGCGCCACGAAGGGTGGTGCTACGAACAGCCACTTCCTTGGAGGGCCATCGCCGACTAGTTTCTTTCTTGCATTGTGGAACTTGGTTGGCACCAATGAATGGAACGCACCGAATGGTTGTGGCAAGCCGAGTAGAGGGCGCGCGGTGGCTCAACCATCCCTTGGCGCCGCAGTGCCCCATGGAGCTGGATGAAGCGACGTAGTGCCGCGAGGCGGGCGCCCCGTATTGCCTGCCATGGAGGGCAAGCATTTGGTGCTGGAGGCGATGCACAGGCCGAAGAAGCCGGCCACCTAGCTGGCCGGAAAGTAGGGAGAAAAGCACCGGAAAGAAGGGGCCCATGTGCCATGTTGTAGGCGCCCATGGAACCGGGTGAAGCCCGATAATTTCGCGGGGG